TTCCATTACCTTTAATGGAATTACTCTTGATTTGCACTGGTGTCTTGAATTGAACTTTTGCTTTTCAGGATTTATGTATCTTGTTTTCCTACCATTTAAACAAGAAGCCAGACAAAGTCATTTCCACCTCATTTTTTTTTCCCCTCAATAAATTCAAGCATTATTATAGTTTATCTCTGTGACCTCCACTTGCTCTTGTACATCATCCATCTAATTATTCACGGCTCCTGCAGGACATTGCATTCCAGTATCTTCTATTTATAACCCAAGATGTCTGAGAACAAAAGGGGACAGGGTTCTTCAGGATATGCCTTTCTGGCCTTGTTACAATTTCTCTTCCTCGTTTCCAGGTGCTCTCTGCCCACAGCCTCTCCTTTATCCTCCTAAAATTTGTGTTCTATCCTTTAATTACAGCTTCTCATGACCCACCTTGTGACTGTTGAAAGGAAGATCCAAAGGGGCACTGCAGAAAATTTGTGGCTTAGTAGAAACATAAAGAGACAATTTATACCATCCAGTTTTTGGTTGAGAAAATTTATGGAGACCATAACTGGTGATGTGGTGGGTGATCAGAAAGTAAGAGGTGGGGGACAGGCTTCCAGTTCATCAACAAAAACACTCTGTAAATGATACTAAATTATTTAGCAAGATAGTTGTGGATTAGTGTTGTAAATTAAAAAGAAAGGGGAGTGATAAAATAAAGGACTGAATATACCTGGATACAGTCACCAAATGGGAATAATCCAATCAAATACAGGCAGTTATATGTCTTGGTTGACTAAAGAGCATTTTTGTGTGACCAGCTCAGTGAAAATACCTCTGCTGACACGTGTGAATCCCACTTGGTAGGAGAGGGGACCTGCTCACCTCTTGCCCCTGCCCATCTTCCCAGGGCTGGAGCATTTCCTCTTGTTCTGTGAACATCTCCTCAGAAAAGAGCAGTTTAAAAGCTTTTCAGAGATCTGCTCAACCTCTCTTTCATTTCACAGGGGGAGTCAAATGTAGCACCAAAGCCTCAGTGACTGGTTTCCTCAGTTAAGCAACTCAAGGATCTTTGTTAATTGTACTTTTTTCCTTATATTTTTCTGGCATTGGCTTCTTACCTTCTCTTCTTTTCACTCTTTCCCTGATTGATTTAAGAGCTGCTACTTTACCTCCTTGCAGGGGCTTATACTCTGTAATCAACTCACTTCTCAGCCTTATTTCTGAAAAACAAAACAGACTGTGCTCCAAGGTTCACTGAGAAACATTTTTTTTTTTTAAATAGATCTTGATTATGTCTTGTCTTTCCTTAGGATCTTTATTTTATAGTTGTACCACAATCTTTTAAAATTGTGAACACTGAAAATATTCCCTTATGTCCTGCTGCATAATTCCTTAGAGTGAGACAAAAAACATCTTCCTTCTCCAAGCTCACTAGTTAAATTTTCATACACCCAGGAATGCCATTCCTGGGAAATCCTGCTGAGTTCATCAGGTCAGTGTTTTGCAACCTGCAGCCCTGTTTTAAAAAAATGGTTCATATCGCTTTCTCTTTGCAATAACTTTGTGCTTGGCTGTTCAGAAACATTCTGCCAGGCAGGACTCAGCCTGTAGAACCATGTGCAGCTCCTCCAGGCCCCTCAGCAACTTCCCTGATCTTTGTGCCAGCTCTGAATTTTAGTGGAAATATTTTCACAGCCACTTAGCACTGACAAGTGAAATCACTTACGAGGATCAGGCCTGATGGCAAACACAGAGAAAACCCATTAGAAATGCTCAGTTTTGATTCCAGTTAACTTTGCAGAGCTGTCACAGTCCTTATCCTGCCTTTCAAATCCAGCAGACCACGGAGGAAAACTCCTCTTAGGTGTGTCCGTGTGTACTGGGAGAAGAGGCAGAGAGCTTTGGGAAATACAAATGCTTTTAGGTGACAAGGGAGTGTTAGTTCCTCATGAGAGTGAGACCTGGGCATTTATCCTTCTCCCTTGAGTATCTTCTTCCTTGAAAAGGGAAGCAGGTTGTATAAGCCACAAGAGACACAGTACATGCAGCTAGATCTCATCCTGGACAACTATCCTGTGTGATAGATATATATACATATATAAGCAGCCTTTGACACTGATTCCCACAGCCTTCTGGAGAAATTGGCTGCTCATGGCTTGGATGGATGAACTGTTCACTGGGTAAAAAACTGGCTGGATGGGTGAGCCCGGGGAGTGGTGGGAATAGGAGTTTAATCCAGTTGGCAGCCAGTGACAAGTGGGTTCCCCCAGGGCTCAGTTTTGGGGCCAGTCCTGTTTAATATCTTTATCAATGGCCTGTTGAGGGGATCAAAGGCACCCTCAGTCAGTTTGCAGATCTCACCAAGCCGGGTGGGAGTGTTGATCTGCCGGAGGGCAGGAAGGCTCTGCAGAGGGATCAGGACAGACTGGATCAATGGGTTAAGGCCAGTGGTATGAGGTTAAGCAAGGTTCAGTGCCAGGTCCTACCCTTTGGTCACAACAACCCCCTACAGCAGCACAGGCTGGGGCAGAGTGACTGGAAATTGGCCCAGTGGAAAAGGACCTGGGGATGCTGGTGACAGCAGCTGAACATGAGCCAGGGTGTGCCCAGGTGGGCAAGAAGGGTAATGGCACCTGGGCTGTGTCAGCAATAGTGTGGGCAGCAGGACCAGGGCAGTGATTGTTCCTCTGGGCTGGCACTGGTGAGGCCACACCTTGAATCCTGGGATCACTTTTGGGTCCCTCATGACAAGAAAGACATTGAGGGGCTGGAGTGTGTCCAAGGAAGGACAACAGAGCTAGGGAAGGGTCGGGAGCACAAATCTGATGAGGAGCAGCTGAGGGAGCTGGGGGTGCTCAGCCTGGAGAAAAGGAGGCTCAGGGGAGACCTTCTCATTCTCTACAACTCCCTGGCACAAAGTTGTAGCCAAGTGTGGGTCCATTTCTTCTCCCAGGTAACAAGTGACAGGGTGAGAGGAAATGGCCTCCGGTTGCAGGAGGGGAGGTTTAGATTGGATATTACGAACAATTTCTTTACCAGAAGGGTTGTCAAGCATTGGAAAAGCTGAACAGGACAGTGGTGGACTCACCATCCCTGCAGGTATTCAAAATACATGCAGCTGTGGCACCTGGAGACATGGTTTAGTGATGGACTTGGCAGTGCTGGGTTAATGGTTGGACTTGATGATCTCAAAGCTCTTTTCCTTATCTAAACAATTCTGTGATTCTCTGATTTTGTCACTCTGCACTTGTACAATCCATAACAGATTCCTGTTGTGGGATCTCACCACAAGGGTCAAACGCCCTCACAGCCCCTAAATGACTCTTCCCAGGTGTGTGATGGGCTGAACATCCTTCAGGAGAGCTCAGTTTCACAGAAATCATCTTCTGCCTCCACAAGAGTCGGGGATTTAATACCTTGCTAGTCCATCTTTACCTGCAGCAGGCAGTGAGGAGGTACATATGGCACTTTGTCCCCTCCACAGACAGGGATCATTCCTGGGACTAATGAGGTAAGTGGAAGTGTCTGCTGTTGGCAGCAACAGGACATGAAAAAACAACACATCTTGTTGTGCACAGCACACTGTTAAAAACTGTTATTATGGGCTATCAGCCCAACCCACAGATGCACCTTAATTAGAGGAATTTAAGAGTCTTAATTAATGTCACTCAAAACTTTAGATATTAAAATCCATTTGCAGAACAGTAAGGGTGAGAATCCTGCATTTATTCTGCGTTTTTTGCTAAATGTTTCTAAATTCAACTTCCTATTAGCTGAGAGCACCAATCCTTGTCAACTTTGCTCTGCTTCTTCATTGGCCTGAGCCAAAGTTGGACTGATCTGCCAAAAAAACACCTTTGATGCCCATATTCCCTGGATTTTGCAGGGACAGGAGAGGTTTTCCTTATTCTTATTGAAAGGGAATTGTTTTAAAAGCTGAGATGCTGCTGATGCAATCCTGTTTCTTTAGAAAGAAAATGCACAAAGATCTGCTCCTCAAGTTCAATAAAACAAGGAAAACAAAACAAAACAAAACAAAAAAAAAGAAACTACTTGGTTTCTTTTCAAGCTCTGTGGCCCAAAGCCTTCTATCCATCCAAGTGCTTCCATGACCATCCCTCCAGTGTCTTCTCTTTTGCATCCTGCAGGGTGAGAGCTTTTATCATCTGCATAATGGAGCTTAACTGTTCCTTGTGGTTATCCAGAGGAAAAAGCAGCCTACATCAGTCAGCTTTGGGAGAGGGAGGTTATCACAGAGCACTTACACTTGTGGGACCCAGTCATATATTTCTAAATACTTCAGAAAATAAAATTACCCCTGAAACCTCTGTTGGCTTTTTGTTGCTGCAATTACTGACTGCAGAACTAAAGGTGCTGCTAATGCTGGGGTAAGGTGTGATTCCACTTCTGATTGACTTCACATTTCTGCTTTGTCTTGTTTTATTTTTTTCCCCCCTAATGTTCTCCCTTATGCAAGACCTTGAGTATTTATTTTGACAGCTTACATTATTCAGCAAGCAATTAAACTTTCAAATGTATTGTGTTCTCATAGCTTAAAATAGCTTTGGTAACATCAGTAGGGTTTCTCAATCCCCCACACAACGAAGATAAAGAACATCTCTGTTGAATTTCTTTTTTTTTTTTCCCAGATTGCTTTTTTTAAGCAAATACAGTATTTTAGAGAGTCTTCATGTTTTGACGTCTTTACACAAACCAATCAAATACTACCTGTGGAAATTCCCAAAAAGTTAAAAAGGCAACAGGTAAAGAGAATGTGATACAGGATAAAGGAAGGAAACACATGGAGTGTGAGGAACAAACTAGACTGATCAACTCTGTAGGTCCCTCTTGTTCATGACCCTACCTGTCCTCTGAACTCTCCTGGGTTAAAAGACAGAATTAAACTAATTGTGTTGTGTGATGAAGGGAAACAACGCCAAAAGCATTTTGCTTTGCCAGCTTCAACTCCAGAAGGGTCACAGAAGACACAGGACAGTGATGTCTCCACCTGCCACAGATAGTTGAAAGTGACTGCAAAACAGAGACCTGAACCTCTTCTGGATTGTCCCCAGTCAATCACAAAATGGGTTGGCTTGGAAGGGACTTTAAAGATCAGCTCCTCTGCCATGGGCAGAGACACCTTCCACTAGCCCAGGTTGCTCCAAGCCCCGTCCAGCCTGGCCCTGAACACTTCCAGAGATGGGGCAGCCACAGATTCTCTGGGCAACCTTTGCCAGGGCCTCTCCACCCTCACAGGGAAGGATTTCTTCCTGATATCCCATCTAACCCTGCCCTCTCTCAGTTTGAAGCCATTCCCCCATGTCCTGTCACTCCAGGCCCTTGTCCCAAGTCCCTCTCCAGCTCTCCTGGAGCCCCTTTAGGCACTGGAAGGGGCTCTCAGGTCTCCCTGGAGCCTTTTCTTCTCCGGGTGAACACCCCCAGCTCTCCTAGTCCAACTCCAGAGCAGAGGGGCTCCGGCCCTCGGAGCATCTTTGTGGTTGTTCTCTTGACTTGTTCTAACAGGTCCACATTTTCATTGCCTTGAGGCCTGCAAACCCCAAAGCCTTTGAAGAAATCCTTTCAAGAACACAAGGAAATATAAGCTACCAAACCCCAAAACCTTGCAGTTTCTCCACATTCCCAAATACAACTCCAGTGCTGTTTTCCTGCTTTTACCGTTTCTCTAAACCTCCACGTTTTGCTGGCTGAAAAACAAGCTTTTGTGTCATCTACTCTTCCTTTTGTGCTGGCAATCACCTCCCACGTCAGTGCCACCTCTGCTCAGGGCTGGGGCCGGGGGTGGGGATGCAAGGGAGTGCTGATGTTCCTGACCCGCTAATCCACAGGCAGCGATTTGCTGCTCAATTCCAGGACAACATTAAGGCGACTAATTTGCTTCTCCTGTCAGACAGCGCTTAAGGAGAGCTGGGATGGCTTTTAGACAATTCCTGCTGGCTTTGGAGTGGGATGGAAAGCATCAGGAAAAGTGTTATACCAGAGGTTTTGGGTTTGTTTGCAGCTCCACAGTATTGGAAAGAGAGAAGGAAAGGGAAAAGGAGAAAGGGAA